GGGGCTTAAGTGGAGAGCAAATGTTTTGAGAATGATGAGGGCAATGAATGTACAAATGTGCTTGACACAATTGATGTATGTATGGATTGTGATAAGAGTTGTATGAGCCCCTAATAAAATGATTTAAAAAAAAACAAGATTTCAAAAAAAAAGATCAACTGCTCCACCCCACCCAAAATAAACCACTGTCGTCAAGCTGATTCCGACCCTCAGCGACCCCATTGGACAGGGTATAACTGCCCCTGTGGGGTTCTGAGACTTTAAATCTTTAGGGGAGCAGAATGCCTCAACTTTCTCCCTCAGTGTGGCTGGTGGGCTTGATCTGCTGACCTTGTGATTAGAAGCTCAGTACAAAACCCACCGCTCCACCTAGACACCTCCTCCTCATGACCACAGCCTTGGATGCCCAAGGAGACAGCTCTTTTCTGTCACGTGGGCTCGCGGTGCCCAAACGGACTCAATGAAGATGGGTTAGTTTCCCTTTCTTCTTTGGGAAAGTTGGTGGTTTGAATCATGGCCTTGGCTCCTCTGAGAAGCCCCGGTATCGCAGTGTGTCAAGCACATTTGCACATAGGCCGCCATCATTTTCAAAGCATTCTCTTCCCACTTGAGCCCTGATATCACCTCCCCATTTCTTCCCCCTCCCTCAGAACCCTTGATAAGTTATAGATTATTATCTCCATATCTTACATTGTCCTCTGTCGCCACTCACCCACTTTTCCATTATTCATCCCCCTGGGAGGGGGTTCTAGATTGATCCTTGTGATCGGTTCCCCCTTTCGCCCCCCACCCTCCCCTAATCCTCCTGGTATCTCTACTCTCCTTGTTGGCCCTCGGGGGTTTATCTGTCCTGGATTCCCTGTGTTGCGGGCTCTTATCTGTAGCAGTGTGCATGTTCTGGTCTAATCCGATTTGTAAGGTAGAATTGAGGTCATGATGGTGGGGGGAAGGAAGCACCAAAGAACTAGAGGAAAGTTGTGTGTGTCATGGGTGCTATACTGCACCCTGACTGGCTCATCGAGACTCGAACTTTTTATGGGAGTAGAAAGTCTCATCTTTCTCTCACGGCGCGGCTGGTGGATTTGAACCTTGGACCTTGTGGTTAGCCTCCTGACGCCTAACCACGATACCACCAGAGCGATAGCCTGAGAAACCTGCAGCGGCAGCGCTGCCCTGTCCTGTAGGGTCACCATGACTCTGAACAGGCGCTAAGGCAGTGAGTTTGGTTTTGGGTTTGAGTGGCTCTGTGAGACCTGGTGACCTCCCTCCTTGATGCTGACATGCCAGGGGGCCATGCCACGCTGTCTCCACAGGGTCTCAAAACTGACGCCAGGGCACCTCACAACAACAGTGAGGCACAGAGCCCTCCCTAAGCAGGGTTTGGAGTCTGACTGTGCTCGGCACTGACTTGTTAGTGGCCGGGCAGTCCCAGGATAACGGGGAAGGGAGTCAGGTTTCCCAGTTGCAGGTCCTGGGGGATGGGTGGAGGTTATTCACCAGTAGAAATATTTCAAAAGTCTCCCCCTTTCCATTTTGAAAAGATTTCAAACGTGGAAGATCTGCAAAAATTAGCCCCCACCTAATCACTCCCTTACCATGTACCCTTCACTCCAACTCCAAACAACCCATTGCCATCGGGCCCAGGTGACCCAGTGTGTCACCACAGCGCCACAGGGCTCTCCTGCTGGGACTTGTCAAGAGCAGCTCACCAGGCCTTTCTTCCTAGGTACCTGGGTGGTCAGCTGCCCAGGGTTCCACCATCCACACCTCTGAGAGCCTCCTGACACATAGTAGGTCTGGGGGAACCACGGGTTCTCCTTTAGTCTGATCAGTCCCGGTCCTGTGTGTGCACGACTGAGGCCTGTTTGCAAAGCTCTCTCCAAGCCCACACAGCTCCCTGAGGGTCACCCGCAGCCCAAGCACAGCGCTGACCACCTGCCTTCATGGGTGGGAGGCAGGAAAGGGGTTATGGCCAGGGTGGCGGAGCCAATGGGTTGGTAAGAACTCAGCTGGCTGGCGATCTAAAACAGACCCGTCAGCCGTCGGCCATGGGCACCGACCAGTCAGAATGGGCAGTGGCGACAGCATCTTGGTTGACCAATTGTCGTGGAGGTGATTCTAATTCGCTGCTGCAGTAGGTTCAGCTGCTTGGGGGAAGCTCTGGCCGTCCCCATTTCCAGGGAGGTGGTGTGACAAGTCCCAACCCGTGTGTCCCTGGACTCATCCCCTCTCTGCCTTTCTGACCCCCCCCCCCAGGAGGTCCTGACCACCACGACCATGAGCTATCTGGACTACAGCGATTACAACTACACAGATGACGATTGCCAGAGTGGCCTTCAGGTTCCTGTGGATGGGCGTCCCCTCAAGCACCAGGTTCCTCCTCTGGATGTGGCCGCGCTGGTCATCTTCACCCTCGTCTTCCTGGTGGGGGTACCGGGCAACGCCTTGGTGATCTGGGTGACAGGGTCCGAGGTCAGGCGGGCCATCAATGCCATCTGGTTCCTCAACCTGGCGGTGGCCGACCTCCTATCCTGCCTGGCGCTGCCTATCATTTTCATCTCCAAGGTCTCGGACAACCACTGGCCCTTTGGCCGGGGCGCCTGCAAGGTGGTGCCTTCCCTTATCCTGCTCAACATGTACGCCAGCATCCTGCTCCTCGCCACCATCAGCGCCGACCGTTTCCTGCTGGTCTTCAATCCCATCTGGTGCCAGAACGTGCGAGGGGCTCGCCTGGCCTGGATGGCTTGTGGAGTCGCCTGGGTCGTGGCCCTCCTCCTGACCATCCCTTCCTTCTTGTACCGGACCACCCACGAGGAACAATTTCCCACCAGGACCACGTGCAGCATCAACTACGGGACAGGCAATCACACGGAGTTGGCAGTGGCCAGTGTCCGGCTGGTCGTGGGCTTCCTGTGGCCACTCATCACCCTCTCCGTCTGCTACACCTTCCTGCTGCTTCGCACCTGGAGGCGCAAGGCCACGCGCTCCACCAAGACCCTGAAGGTGGTGGTGGCCGTGGTCAGCAGCTTCTTTGTCTTCTGGCTGCCCTACCAGGTCACCGGCATGTTCTTGGCTTTGTACGAGAGCAAATCCCCCACCTTCAAGTTTGTCCAGAAGATTGACGCACTGACCATCTCCCTGGCTTACGTCAACTGCTGTATCAACCCCATCATCTACGTGGCCGCCGGCAGGGGCTTCCAGACCTTGTGTCGCAAATCCTTCCGTGCCATGCTTCGCAACGTGCTAACGGAGGAGTCGGTGAGCAAGGAGAGCAAGAGTACCCATGCCTCCACGGTGCACACGATGACGGAGAAGACCGAGGCAGTGTAAAGGGACGCCGGCCAGCCACCTGGGGCGCCGTCTTCCTTCGGACACGGCCCTGGGTGTGCTCAGTGGCCTTGCTTGGATCCATGCTCTCCCATCCCCAGATTGGTCCAGCCTTCCTCTTCTGGGCGAACTCAGCTCATCTTCTTTGCTTCCAAGATTAACCCCTTCTTCCAGGGTCCCCCAAGGAGCGAGCCCTGGTCGGGCAAGGTTAGTTGCTCAGCTGCTTAACCAAAACGTTGGGAGGTGGGGACGGGTTGCAGCCCACCCTGAGGCTCCGCGGAAGAAAGATTTGGCGACTTGCCACATCAAGAGGACAACCCAAGTAACTCTCAGGGCCAGTTCTGCTGGGTCCTACTGGGGCACTATGGGTCGACATCCACTCCATGCTACTTGGGAGCCACCGTGTATATCCAATTTTCCTTTCCACTGGAGGCTCTCCGATGCCTTCTGTCAGAATACCTATCTCTGTCCATGCCTTTGTTCTATAGGCCCGTCACAACTATGGAAAACTCATGCACATAGAGATGTTTCACACCGACGGCCCAAAAATCCGGTGCGTTTTTGTTTTATTTTAGGTTCTATACCCAGGGAACGTCATCACTATTGTAAGGTAGATTCGGTGATGGAGAGAAAGAAAGAAAGAAAGAAAGAGAGAGAGAGAGAAAGGCAAAGATAGGAAACCGTTTCTAAGATTTATTTCAGAGCTCCTGGGCAAGGTTCATGGGTCCCTAATTGGGGCCGGAGAAGTGGAGCCCCTCCTGGGAGGGAGGTGAGGAGTTCTATAGTCTGGGGGGAGGGAGTAGCTGGGGAATTTTCCACTGCAACGTGGTTGTCTGCAGATCCAGAGCTAAGCAACAGTGTTCAAAGTTCTCTGCCGTGGCTAGTCTTCTGCACCTGGGCCTGAAGGCCATCTAAGGGGGGTGGGGTGGGGGCTGGCTTCTCTAGTATCCTTGAAGTGTTGTCACGAGCTCCCGGTATCTCTGCCTGCCTGCCCTGCTACCTCCAGCTTCTGCCTGACACCTGTGATTGTGGTAAACGTACATCTAAGGAACAACACATTTGCCATTTAGACATTTTTTTTTTCAGTTGTGGTAAAAAGGTCGAGACTAAAACATTTGCCAAGGCAACCGCTTAGCTTTTTCTCTCGTCTTTCTTTTCTATCTTCTTTTTTTTTTAAACATGGGCTCTTCAGCGACATCGGGATCACCCATCAGGTGGTGCAAACATCACGGCGGCCCATTCCCAACCTGTCCTTCCCCTGCAGCAGAACGTCAGTGCCCTTCAAGGAAAGAGCCTTTTGGATTGTAACGAATTCTATATTTATTTTAGACTGCAAACAAAACAAAACTCGCTGGCATCAGGTCAATGTTGACTCACAGTGCCCTTATGAGAAAAAACCAGGTTTTCAACTCCTGTAAAGAATTATAGAAACCCATAGGGCCAGTTCTACCCTGTCCTGTAGGGTCGGTATGAGTATTTAGTTTATGGAGGGTTAGAAAAGAACACATAACTGGTGCTGCAAACAGTGATAAAAAACAAACAAACAAACAGAAAAAGAGTCAAACAGAAATAGCCAGACCTAACAAACTACCCCCGCCCCCGCCCTTCCCCCAACCACCACCAATCTCTAAACACCAGTGTCAACCCTGTTTCTGACGGAAAAACTGCTGAGCCGGACGGGATCTTCTTCACGGTCCAGGAGAATCAAACGTGATCAAGGGAGTTGGCTGCTTGCAGATGACACTGGACCTTGGACCTGGGGTAGGCTGCTGAATGATCCAAGCCAGTGTTTCCCAAAGTGGGCGATACAGCCTTCAAGGGGGCTGCCAAAGCTACATCCTGGATTAGGGGGCTAGAGTACAAACGTTTCTAATTGCCAGGGGCCCGATGGGTAATCCCCCCCTGCCCCCCACAAAAAAGGAGGCAGGAAACCAAATAAGTTTAGGAACTTGTGAGCTAATCGACATTGGGCATGCCGATGCTGTGAGATGCGGATGACAACAATTGCTATCCCACTGCTCCATTTGCTACAGAAATGCAGGTCTGACATACATTGAAACAACTACGGGCAACAATTAAAGACAAGTCCGCAGAACCATCGTTCATTAAAAAAAAATTAAGTATGGAAGTATTTAAAATTTTCATCGCTGTAAGAAAAACATTCAGCTGCAATGTTTATTTAGCTGAGGGAGAAGAAATAGTAAGTGAAAGGGAGCGATAGAATTAGGACAGGAGGCAGTAGAAGGAAGAAAGGGTAAGTTACGGCTGATGTGGGAGAGAAGATGGGTGCTCAACATATACATGTAATCCACATTGGGGGTGGGAAATGTCGCTGGTTTGTTGGAATCCTGTTTAATTCAACCTTGTTTTTTTAATTGAAAGCATCATAGGTGGCAGCGTGTTTGAAAATAAAATATTAACAATACGAAATCTGTGTAAGCTCGTGGTTTTACTTAGCACTTCCTGGACCAAGGCACGTCTTGATTGGAAGTCACACACGCTTGCGTGGTACACGCGCAAAGGTTCTGTTTTGTTTTATTGTTTTGTTTTGCTAGTAAGGCAGACACCAGGAACAAGGAAGCTGCCACGAGCAAATTTTGGAATTGGTGGGCGGGCATCTGCTTTCCTCCTTGGGAATCACTGGGAAAGTTTGAACAGAGCAGGCAAATCCTGATTGGTTAGAACCTCGGTATCAAGTCCTGATTGGCTAGTGGGTGTTACCAAGCTCTGATTGGCTAACTGGTGATCCCAAGCCCCGATTGGCTGGCTGGTTTAGTTTCCAAGTCCTGATTGGCTAGCTTGCGTTTCCGTTTCTGTGAGCGCAGGGATTGGGGCTCCTGCCAACTGGAGGCGGTCGGCCTGAGTGAAGAGCATCTCAGCACTGGGGACTCCATTTTTGGACCTGACGCAGCGGTTAAAGTGCTCAACAGGTTGAGCAGCAGGTTGGCAGTTCAAACCCACCAGCCACTTCCCAGAGAAAGACGTGGCAGTCTGCACAGCCACGTGGGAAACACTGCAGCGGCTCTGCGCTTGAAAGCAGTGTTTCTTCCTATCTTTTTTCTTCTTGTTTTGATTTTCAGGTTAAGGAGCCCTAGGGTTGTCATAGTTAATTCAGACCCATCAGCTGCTCGCCGGGAGAAAAGATCTATGGTTCAGCTCTCCTGAAGATGGCTGCCTTAGAACACCCTAGGGGGCAGTTTCATTCCCTCTCCAGGGTCGCTCTGAACCCCGAGTGCAAATGGATTCAACAAGAACATACACAGTCAGGTTAGCATGGAGCAAGACAGATCCCTCTTACTCTTGGCTCGGTTTCCTCCAAAGTTAACAGCCAACCACAACACCAACCCCAAACCAATTGTTCTCCAGTTAATGCCAACACACAGCAGAACACAACTGGAGTCTTCTCAGATCGCCACACCTGTCTTCGAGACACCTGGGAGTGTGCTCCAAATGCCGACCTTTTGATTGGTCGTCAAGTGTTTACACTCTTGCACCACACCGGGAACGCGTTTCCTCTAACGGTAACACCTTGCAAAACTGTGGGGCAACCACACAACCAGCATGACACAGCGAGGGTACAGAGCCTTCCACGGTCCTAAGAATGATGCCCTTGGATGGGTACATTCAGCACTCTGCCTCCGTCCCAGCCTTGCCCCTACCGAACCCGGGGCAACCACCAATCCATTCTCCATTTCAAGAACTTTGTCTTTCCAAGAATGCCCAAGAAATCAAACGACAGTCTGTGATCTTAAAAGAACCCCGCAACTATTGTATAGATATATACGTATCTGCTGTCGTTAGGTGCTATTCCGTTCCAGCCCTATAGACCTTTTGCACACAGAACAAGACACTGCCTGGTCCCGCCCTATGTTCCCAATGTTATGTGTTGTGGGGTTAAGGGTAAGAGGGAACCCCACAAAACATCACAGGTTTGGTAGGCGCAATTGTACAGCGATAATAAGTATAGATTATAGTAAAGTCATAGAGAGCATGAGAG